ATGTAGTGAAATACTATTGTTCCATAAGAAATGGTGAGCAGGATGATTTTAGAAAAACCTGGGCTTAGACTCTTAAAATCTAGCCACTGCTCCGATTCTTATAATCAAGCGACTGCTGGTATTCTTATAATCTAGCCTTTGCTTAGATTCTTAAAATTCAGCCACTGCTTACTCATGTTCAGACTTAAGAGTCTGACCAATATGATGGATGTTCTAATAAACCTTGTCTTTGGCTGAAAGAAGGCTTGGGTCAAATTCTTTTGGGCAGGACTTGCGTGTTGTGGTTTTGGGGTCCCAGAACCCCAGAACCCCTAAACTGCACCATTTTGGTGGCCTGTACGGGGAAACTACCTAACCCAAAGTTCTTCTCCAGCCAAAACTGGAAGGTATGTAAGCCTCCCCCCTCTCCTTTCTTGCTCTGCAGTTGGGGTCACTCTCCGGCTTGGAGGTGCTTTTCTGGCAGACAGTTACGAGGCTGTCTTGCACTCGGCCTGATGCTCTCAGGCTCTCAGTCCACTGGGTCAGTTGAAGGCCATGGACCTGTGTACACCTTCCACAGCATAGAGGACAAGGATGGATGCCCTTTCTGGAAGTTTATGTTCAATTCTGTTAATTCCCTCGGTGGTAGGGAATTGGGGAAAACTGCAGTTGCTTTTTGGTTCCCTGAGGCTTACTTACTCTCTTCGCTTGCACCTCTGAATCCTCCTTCATGAGGTTACAGGGAAAGTTAGTACAGCTAAAAATATCTTGGCATATTCTAGAGGTTTTGTGATTGATCATTAAGGAGTTTTGAAACACCTGTACAACCTGGTCATTCCCTTCCCTTGAGTCAAGAGGGTATCTGTTAACCCCTCTCATAGGAGAAGAGAATTTCAACCTTTACCCCTCACCTTTGATTTTGCCCTCCCCAACCTGAGAAGGGAAGGAGGGGGGAGGGGCAGTAGCTGCGGTGTGGGCTCTCCTGGCAATGATCTTGGGCTCTAGGGCAACCTTTGCCTAGAAGCATTACCCAGGTTCAGCACATCCTGCTCAAGGTAAAGAAGCTGGCCTCTGAACTTGGGTAAGCATGCTCTTTGAAATTTGTAGTTTTAACTGTTAATGATTAGATGTTAGTTCTCTGTGTAAAGTAATTTGGAAATGCATTTAACAAAACTGAAGTCACCTGATTGGTAATGAGTTTGTTTCAAGTTTCAAGTTGGTGCACTTTCTGTATCAGTTATGTCAAGCAACTTTTCATAATTTAGTTACCAGTAAAATGATTTAGCTATTGTTGGCTATTGTTTTAATGTGTAAACTGGCCAAAAAGTTTGTTTGGGTTATGTATGGCTTGCTGAGAATTTGCAAGTGTATAGAAATCTATAATGATTGGCTTTTTACACCAGAACAAATTTAAGTTTGAGATGTAAATCCTGAAAAAGTTTCTCCTAAGCTGTGATTAGTAAAACTTGCTGTTTGAGGTAAAAGCTCATAGGATTTTATTCTGAGTTGTCTGATGGGTCATAATCCATCGATAATCAATAATCCACCACCTGAGAGAAATGCCACAAGCTACTCAGAGAAAGTGATACTGGTGGGAAGTCAGCATTGGGAAAAGCTGAGAGGACAATTTTAGCCTCAGTCTAAGATGGGATCCTCCTGGCTCAGTTTCCCCATTATGTTCCTTTGAAAGAGAATGTTACTCACCTGGCTATTCCTGAGTTTGGCTATGAGGTGGATTTGATACTGCATTAGCAAGCTGAATTATCTGAATCCAAACAGAGCTAAGGATGTTTTATCCTCTCAAAGTTGGGCCCTGAATCTGGGCCCTCCAGTTTTTTCTGTCAGATTTGTGTCTTCCAGACTATGAGCCATTCACCTGCAGTTGGTAGCAAACAACAAGTACCAGCCAATGTCCCCACATCATTCCCTGGATGCAGCCTGTGCTCAGTTCCAGTCAACCTTCTCTTTGGGACTCCCTAGAGGCAGGGATAGCTCTATTCCTCTTGCCAGCAGGAAGCAGTTTCAGAAGCTGAGACCTTTGCCACTTACACCAAAAGAATTTGGGTTCCATTTGTTTGAGGGGGGAATGATGAGGATGGGATCTAGACACCCCCCCCCAAAAAAAGGAAAAACCCTGAACTTTCCCACTTGACCAAATCTCTGGCATTGGCCTGAAGTTATAATCCCATCAACTAGCCTTTCATTGTGGCTATACCCAATCTCCCAATTCTGTTAATCTAACCTGGCCTTCCTTTGTCTTACCTCCCTATGGCCCCTGACCATTTCCCACCCTTAATCCTAGCTAGGCTCCATTCTTCCTTGGCCAGGAGGTCCAGGGCTCAGGAGTTCTGTTCACCCCAGTTTACTGGCCACTCCTAGGTCCTAACCACAGTCTTTCTGTAATATAAGGTCCACCTTGTCTCCATTAAGATGCCTAGATTCTTAAAATCTAGCCACTGTTCTGATTCTTATAATCAAGCCACTGCTGGGATTCTTTTAATCTAGCCACTGCTTAGATTCTTATAATCTAGACACTTCTGGGATTCTTTTAATCTAGCCACTGCTTACTCATGTTCAGACTCCTTAAGAATCTGCCCAATGTGATGGATGTTCTAATAAACCTTGTCTTTGGCTGAAAAAAAAAAAAAAGACTTGCATGAACTAATGCTGAGGGAAGTGAGCAGAATCAAGAAAACGTTATACATAGTAACAGCAACATTGTATGATGATCGACTTTGTTACACTTAGCTCTTCTCAGCCATGTAATGATCTAAGACAATTCCAAAAGATTCATGGTGGAAAATGTTATCCGTATCAGAGAGAGAACTATAGAGTCTAAATTCACATCAAAGTGTACTACTTTCTCTTTTTTTTTTATTTTTTCTTTCTTGTGATTTCCCCTTTTTTTCTGATACTTCTTTCACAACAAGACTGACATGGAAATATATTTAATATGATTGTACATATATAACCTATATCAGATTGCATGCCATTTTGGGGACCCGAGAGGGGAAAGAAGTGAGAAAAATTTAGAACTCAAAAATCTTATAAAAGTGAATGTTGAAAACTTAAAATAAAGTAAAAATATAAAAATGGAAAGGACAATTTTGATTATATTAAATTTTAAAAGATTTGCATAAACAAAACCAAAGTTAAAAAGAAAACACAAAACTGGGAGAAAATTACAGCAAGTTTTGCTGATAAAAATCTCATTTCTCAAATATATGCAGAACTAAGCTAAATTGATAAGATGATGAGTCATTCTCCATGGGCAAATAGCCAAAGGCTATGAATAGGCAAATTTCAGAAGAAGAAATCAAAGCTATCAATAAATATATGAAGACAAAATGCTCTAAATCACTAAAAAATTAGAGAAATACAAATTAAAACAATTCTGACTTACCACCTCACACCTATCAGATTGGGAGAAAAAAAGGACAATTGTTGGAGGGGTTATGGGAAGACAGGCACACACAATATACTATTATTGTAGCTGGGAATTGCTTCAACTGTTCTGGAAAGCAGTTTGGAATTATACCCCAAAAGCTACTTAACTATGAATACCCAGTACCCCAAAATAATCAAAGACCAAAGGAAAGGGCCTATATGTAGAAAAATGTTTACAATGGAACTTTTTGTTTTAATAAAGGGAATGGCCAAACATAATATCCTGTATGAATGTAATGGAATATTATTATGTCCTAAGGAAAAAAGAAAGAGTTAGATTCAGAGAAATCTGGGAATTTGTATCAATGAACTGATGCAAACTGAAGCAAGCAGAACCAGGAAAATAATATATATGAAGACAACATGGTAAAGGGAAACAACTTTGAAAGACTTAAGAACTCTGACCATGTCAATGACCAGCCACCATTCCAGTGCTCTAATAGAGAATGCTTCCCACCTTCTGATAGGAAAGTGATGGACTTCAGAGGTGTAAGAGGCATACATTTTCTGACAAGGTGAATGGATGGATCTTTTTTTTTTTCCTGGACTATATTTATTGTTGGAAGGTGCAGAGAGAATGTTGCTTAGATTTTTTTTTTGAGGTGGGGGGGAGAAAAAGAGGGAAGAAGAAAGGAGGAATAATGGTTCTCCTAAATAATAAAGCATTTACAGTGTACAGAGAAGAAATCAGTTGGAAATGGATATAAACAGAAAAGGACTGGAATTATCCTGTTAAATTTATTATGTATTTTAAAAAATAAGCCTTACATAATTGAAATTTGAGTTTCACACATGCTTCTCTTTTTCTATTCTTTTTATGTAGATATGATCCTGTGAGTTGATGTTTGTCAAGTTCATAATGTTTTTAAAAGATTTAATGGCGTGGTTTTCCAGATTTTTGATTGATAGGAGGTATTGCTACATCACCTATATTTCCCATTACATTCCTCCTTCCACTGATCGTTATAGGCACATTCATTAATTCCCTGCTTGGGTGATGGAAGGGAGGGGCGGAATGGGGGTGACTGGACATGAGGCTCAGGACTCCTGGGTCCCCAGGGTTGCTCTCTTACCCCTGCCAGGTTACTGGGTCCCTTCCACGGGGATAAATGAAAACCTAGCCTGGAAGCTTCAGTCCTTCCTCATCCCTCCCTGCTCAGGGGGCTGTAACTCCAAGGTGGGACCGGAATAAACAAGACTTAGGTTGGAATTCTAGCTCAGGGAGACCCTGGGCAAATCCCTTTCTGTTCCTGAGCTTCAGTTTCCTCATCTGAAAAAAGGAGAGTGTTGGACTAGAGGTTTCCTTAAGGTTGCTTCAGCCAGATTCCGGGATACTGGAGAAGGGTCTGGGGTGGGAGCGGGGCGGTACGCACCGGCCAGTCCCGGGGCCTTCCGCCTGGAACACGCGGGTCCAAAGAGTATCCAAGCCTGGGCCCAGAGGATTCAGGGCTTCCATCTCCCCCAGTGGCGCAAGCGCACTTTGCACACGGACCCAGATAGTGGGCCCTCTCTGATCTCCCTCAGTACCTACCCACCTCCAGGGTGATGTCACGGGGCCGGGGCCCGGGTGTGCTGGCAGCGCACATAAAAAGATCCTCCTGCCCAGACCCTAGAGTGCACAAGTGTCTGCTCTGCTCTTCTAGTGCAGCCGTCGCGATGTCCTCGACAGCTCGGACTCAGGACCGTCCAGCCACCGTGCTGGGCGCGATGGAGATAGGCTGGAGCATGGACCTGGCAGCCAGCAAGGTCTGCATGCAAGCCTTCTTGGACCGCGGCTACCGTGAGGTGGACACTGCCTTCATATACGGCCAAGGCCAGTCCGAAAGCTTCTTGGGCAGCATGGACCTGGGGCTAAAAGACGGCAGCAAAGGAGGTAAACCGGCCAGTGCCCTGCCTGCCCGACCCCGTGCAGCGGCCCCTGCCCACACCCCGGGGTCCGTGCCACTCAGCGTCTTGCTACTTAAATCCCACCCACCCCACACATGGCAGATGGCTCCTGAGTCCGTGCAGGCTCGACTCTCGCTGATGTCGCAGTCTGAGGAGAGCACCCCTGTGCGCTTGACCCTGACACTGGGCTCCGAGGCCGGTACAGCCCAGACTAACTCCTCTGGGCCTTGCATACGGAGTCTCCTTGATCTGGGTTCTCTTTGTCCGCCCCTGCAGCCTCTACCCCGCCAAAACATTGTGTTTTGAGTCCCCTGACACCTTTGCATCCTTAGCTTTCACCTGGCTAGTGAGTTCTTCCTAATCTCTGAAACGTGCTTCCTCCTCACCTGAACAGTGTAATTAATCTCTGACCGCTCCTCCTCTCCTGAGTAACCTTTGCCTCCGTCAGTCAGCTGGTCCGCAAACACTCTGACTTCCCCTTGGGCCTACCTGGCGTCTTTTAAAGGACCCCTGCTACCAAGGTGTCCCCAGGGCCAAGACTGTCAATCCCGAACGGTAACTGGATTCTAATAATCATTAGTCACTCTTTGACTAGTAGCCTTCCTATGGGCTCCTTGCCCCCAAGCACGCCCCCGAGTACTTCCTTCCAAGCCTGCCAGGCTGAGTTAAAGTTCCTGCCTAAGGGAAGGGGAGGACACGTTCTTGATCTTGGGTGAAGCTCTGCATGCGATTTCCTGCAAGTCAGGGAGAGGGCTTTTTCAATTTTATCGGGGACTGCTCAGAGCCCAAGGAGTTTGGGGGGTGGGGTGGAGAGAGGGAATAGGTCTGTTCTGTTCTTTCTCACGGTTGTGATGTTGCTTAGGGCCTCTATTGGGGCAGGAGCAGAGACTTGGGCAGAGTCTTCCCTTGCTACACTTGAGCAAAGTGAATGAGCCCCATTTAGGGCCTCCGTCCTTCAGTGCCTGATCTCACCCCAAACTCCTCCCTCCCTAAGTAGGTGATCTTCTGCCTTCTTGGATTTATAGAATCTGAGAGCTGGAAGAAACCTTAGAACCCAGACTGTCAGAACTGAAATGAACCTTAGAAAGTAGAATGTCAGGACTGAGGGGGTTTAGAGATCACTTTTATCTCAACTCCCTATTTTACAGAGAGGGAAACTGAGGCCCAGAAATGGAAAGGACTTCTCTAAGGTCATACACAGTGAATGAACTGCAGAGATGGGACAGGACTGGTAGCCCAGGGCTTCTTTCTTCCACATTGCTCCATTTGAGCAATGCTTACTTTATCTTGGTGTCCTAGAGGGAAGGAGGGTTTTGGGATTCAGTATTACAATTCAGGGCAGCCAGGTGGTGCAGTGGATAGAGCACCAGGCCTGGAGTCAGGAAGACCTGAGTTAGATCTGGCCTCAGACACTTATTAGCTGTGTGACCCCTGGGCAAGTCACTTCACCCTGTTTGTCTCACTTTGCCCATCTGTCAAATGATCTGGAGAAGGAAATGCCAAATCACTCCAGTATCTTTGCCAAGAAAACCTCAAATGAGGTCATGAAAGTTCAGACAGGACATTATAATTCTGTACACTCTCTAGCTAGGTTCAAATTCCAGTTCTAAACTTTCATTGTGACTTTGAGAAGTTACTTGAACTGTCTGGGTATAGAATCATCAACTGAGAAAAGGAAGGGACCTTAGGGGTCATCACATCCCAACTCTCATTTTACAGATGAGGAAACTGAGGCTCACAGTGATTAAGTGATTTGCCAGAGGCTGCACAGGTTTCCAGTGGCTCAGCCAGGATTTGCAGCTGAGCTCTCTCTTGACTCCAAATGCAGAATTCTTTCTTCTATACCAGGCACACACACACACACACACATACACACACACACACACACACACACACACACACACACACACATATTCTGCATTTCATGAAAGCCCATGTTTAGGTAACCTGGACAAGTCATTTTTCCTTTCTAGATTTTGATATTCTCCAAGGTAAGATAAGACATTTGGACTAGATCAGGGATTCTTAACTCTGGGGTCCTGGGATAGCTTTCAGGGGACCTGTGACACTGGGCAAAAAAAAAAAACAAAAAAAACCCCAACTCATCTTTCTTTTCACCAGCTTCCAATAGAAATGTAATATTAATTTCTTTCAATTATTTAAAAACATTATTCTGAGAATGGGTCCATTGGCTTTGCCAGAGTAACATAGGGATCCATGAAGAAAGGAAGCAAAGAAGAATTTATTAAGTGCCTGCTATGTGCCAGGCACTGTGTCAAGCACTTGCAAGTATTATATTGTGGAATTTTCTGTGTGTTGCTTGAATTGAATTGAATCTCAGACACTCCTACCACCTTCTTTCTCCCCAAGTAAAAATTGCCACCAAGGCCATTCCCATGGATGGGAAGACCCTCAGTGCTAGCAGTGTCCGGTTCCAGTTGGAGACCTCCCTGAAGAGGCTGCAGTGCAACCGAGTAGATCTCTTCTATCTGCATATGCCAGACCATAACACCCCAGTGGAGGAGACGCTGCAGGCCTGCAATGAGCTGCACAAGGAGGTGAGAGCAGAGGATGGTAGAGATGGGCCTTTAGGGTACAGAATATCAGAGCCCTTAGAACCCAGAATGTCAGATCTGGAGAGACCTTAGTGAATCAATCAATCATTCGTTCAACATTATTAACCATCTGCTATGTGCCAGGCACTGTGCTAGAGCTGGAGGTAATGAAACAGTCCCTACTCACAAAGACATTCTGATTATCTTCCCTACCGCTCTCCCTCCATCCCTTTCTTCCCCCTGCTTCCTCCCTCCTCTCTCTCTATCTCCCTCCCTTTTCCCCCTCTCCCTTCCTCTCTCTCCATCCCTCTCTCCTTCACCCTCTTCCCCCCATCTCTCTCCCTCCCCTCCTTCTTTCTCTCTTTCAATCCCCTGCAGGGTAAGTTTGTAGAGCTGGGCCTCTCCAACTACGCCTCCTGGGAAGTAGCTGAAATCTGCACTCTCTGCACGAACAGTGGCTGGGTCCTCCCCACTGTGTACCAGGTGAGCACCTGTCTGAGCCCAGGATGCTGCTGGGTCTCCTGGGGCCCTTCTTGGCCATAGAGTGACCTGACCCCATGGACAGAGAACCTTTCTACCCTCGAGGTCAAAGGAGGGAGGGACTGGCTCCATGTGATACTGCTAGTAAATGGCCCAGCAGAGACTCTGATCTAGGGCTCTGACTCCCAGTGCCTTGGGGCTTTGGAGACGGAAGACCTGGGTTCAAATCTTCACTCTGCCACTTCCTACCTAATGCCATCTCTGGGCCTCAGTTTCCTCATCTGTAAAGTGAATGAGTTGGACTAGACCTCTAGCCAGTGTGCCAAGCTGGTGACCTCTCCTGACCCGGGCTGGTTTGGGGGGGTTGTCCCTTCTCTGAGCCTTCTCATCTGTGCTGTCTTCCCTCCTCACAGGGCATGTACAACGCCATCACCAGGCAAGTGGAGACGGAGCTGTTCCCCTGCCTACATCGCTTTGGATTGCGGTTCTATGCCTTCAACCCTTTGGCTGGTATGAGGAAAAGCGGGGAGGGGACCTCAGAGTCTGTGAGATGGCATAGTATAATGAAGATATGAAGCCAAGAGATCTGGGTTCAGATCTGGCCTTTGATACTTGCTAGCTGTGTGTCCATGGGCAAATGGCAACCTCTCTCAGCCTCTCTGGCCAAATGGGGGAAATAATATTTATGCTAACTACCTCATAGAGCTGCTGTGGGAAGGCATTTTTTTTAAAGATAAAGATCGCTCCAGAAATCTGAATTTATTGTGGCTTCCCTCAGACCTACTAAGTCTCTATTCTAAGCTCAGTTTGAAGGAGGGGGGGAGGAGAGAGACAGTGTCCAAGGATGGTGGGGGGTCCCAGTGATGTCAATTGGAAATAGGAGACACTAATACATACATGAGTAACCTTGTGGGCCACCTAGTAGATTAAAATGGGACATTAACTATGTTTTATAGTGTTTTTATTTGTTCTGTTAAATATTTCCTCATTACATTTCAGCCTCATTTTGCCCTTTTGCCCTAGAAGAACTAGCCTTCTCCTCTTCCTGCCCTCCCAATTCAGCCCCACTCCACTCCCAGTTCTGGAATTATGAGCCAATGAACCCTGGCCATCATCCCAGGGTAGGGTGTGTCAGTGTTGTCCCCTGTTCCCACACTCACCCTCCTGGTTACTTTTGCCACCAAAAATGGTCCTTCCAGACCTTATCTCTCATGTTGTTTCCCTGGTTAGAAAATAAACTTTATGAGAGGAGGGATTTTTTTAAAAATTAAATTAATTTATTTATTTTTAGTTTTCAACATTCACTTCCATAAGATTTTGAGCTTTAAATTTTCTCCCCCTTCCTCCCCGAGATGGCTTGCAGTCTCGTAGAGATTCTACATATACATTCATATTAAACATATTTTCACATTGACTCATGTTTAAAGAACAACTAGAACCAATGTGAGGAATCACCAGAAAGAAGATACAAAGAGAGAGAGAGAGAGAGAGAGAGAGAGAGAGAGAGAGAGTAAATAGTATGCTTTGATCTACATTCAGACTCCATAGTTCTTTTTTTCTGGATGTGGATAGCATTTTCCACTGTGAGTCTTTTGGAGATGTCTTAGATCCTTATATTGCTGAGAAGGGCAAAGTCTATCGAAGTCAGTCATCACACAGTGTGCCTGTTACTGTGTACGATATTCTCCTGGCTCTGCTCACTTCACTCAGCATCAGGTCATATAAGTCTTGACAGGTTTGTTTGGAAATCTGCTTGCTCATCATTTCTTTTTTTTCTTTTTTTTGGCAAGTCAGTCAGGGTTAAGTGATTTGCCCAGGGTCACACAGCTGCTGAGTATCCTGTGTCTGGGGCCAAACTGGAACTCAGGTCCTCCTGCCTCCAGGGCTGGTGCTCTATCCACTGTGCCACCTAGCTGTCCCATTACTCATCATTTCTTATAGCACAGTAGTATTCCATTACATTCATATACCACACTTGTTCAGCCATTCCCCAATTGATGGGCATCCTCTCAATTTCCAATTTTTTGCCACCACAAGAAGAGCTGCTATGAACATTTTTGTACATGTGGGTCCTTTTCCCATTTTTATGATCTCTTTGGGATGCAGCCCTAGAAGTGCTATTGCTGGGTCAAAGGGCAAGCACAGTTTGCCTTTCGGGAGTAGTTCCAAATTGCTCTCCAGAATGGTTGAATCAGTTTACAACTCTACCAACAATGAATTAGTGTTCCAATTTTCCCACATCTCCAACATTTGTCATTTTCCTTTTCTGTCATGTTAGCCAATCTGATAGGTGTGATGTGGTACTTCAGAGGTGTTTTGGTTTGTATTTCTCCAATCAATAGTGATTTAGAGCATTTTGATATGACTATAGATAGCTTTAATTTCTTCATCTGAAAACTGACTGGTCATATCCTTTGACCATTTACCAATTGGGGAATGACTTGTATTCTTATGAATTTGACTCAGTTCTCTATATATTTTAGATATGAAGCCTTTATCAGAGACGCTGGTTGAAAAAATTGTTTCTCAGCTTTTTGCTTCCCTTCTAATCTTGATTGCATTGGCTTTGTTTGTTCAAAACCTTTTCAACTGAATGTAATGAAAATCATCCATTTTGCATTTCAGAATGTTCTCTGTTTCTTGTTTGGTCGTAAATTCTTCCATTCTCCATAAATCTGACAGGCAAACCCATCCTTGTTCTCCTAGTTTGCTTATTGTATCAGCCTTTTTATCTAAATCATATACCCATTTTGACTTTATCTTGAGAGAGAGTATAAGATGTTAGTCTATGCCTAGTTATTGCCACATTATTTCCAGTTTTCCCAGCAGCTTTTGTTAAATAGTGAGTTCTTATCTTAGAAGCTGAAGTCTTTGGGTTTATCAAACAGTAGATTACTGTAGTCATTGAGTATTGTGTCTTGTGTTCCTAACCTAGTCCACTGATCCACCACTCTATTTCTTAGTCAGTACCAAGTCATTTTGATGACTGCTGCTTTATAATACAATTTAGCCAGATCTAGTGTAGCTGGGCCACCTTCCCTTGCGTTTCTTTTCATTAATTTTCTTGATATTCTGGACCTTTTGTTCTTCCAGATTAATTTTGTTATTATGTTTTCTAGCTCTATAAAATAATTTTGGTAGTTTGATTTGTGTGTCATTGAATAAGTAAATTAATTTAGATAGCATGGTCATGTTATTATATTAGCTAGGCCTACCCATGAGCAAATTATATTTTTGCAATTATTTAGATCTGACTTTATTTCTGTGAAAAGTGTTTTGTAATTGTGTTCACATAGTTTCTGGGTTTGTCTTGGCAGGTAGACTCCCAAATATTTTATAATGTCTACAGAAACTTTAAATGGAATTTCTCTATCTCTTGCTCTTGGGTTATGTTAGTAATAGATAGAAATACCAATGTTCTATATGGGTTTATTTTAACATCCTGCAACTTTGCTAAATTTGTTTATTATTTCAAGTATTTTTTTTTACTTGATTCTCTAGGATTCTTTAAGTATATCATCTGCAAAGAGTGATAGCTTTGTTTCTTCTTTGCCTATTCCAATTGCTTCCATTTCTTTTTCTTCTCTTATTGCTAAAGCTAACATTTCTAGTATGATATTGAATGACAGTGGTGATAATGGACATCCTTGTTTCACCCCTGATCTTACTGGAAATGCTTCTAGGTTGTCCCTATTACATATAATGCTTGCAGATAGTTTTAGATAGATGCTACCTATCATTTTAAGGAAGACTCCATTTATTCCTATGCTCTCCAGTGGTTTTTTGGGGGTTTTTTCTTAGCCTTTGATTCAGTTTAGTATTACCAGAAAATTAGCAATAAGTTTGACAACCTCCCCCAATGAAACAAAGCAAAACAAAACATGGGCCATTAATTCTCTTAGGAAGAAGTCTCACCTAATCTTCTTGCCCAATAGTTTCTCATCTTTCAAAGTCTATAAGATAACAAAGTAAGTAATAAAATGCCGTTAGCAAAACTTCCTTTAAAATTCCTAACTTTGGGGCAGTTAGGTGGCACAGTGGATAGAGCACTGGCCCTGGAGTCAGGAGGACCTGAGTTCAAATCTGGCCTCAGACACTTAACACTACTTTGTGACCCTGGGCAAGTCATTTAACCCTATTGCCTGCCAAACAAATAAATAATTAATTAAAATTCCTAACTTTTCTATCCTTTATTCACTTTATTATTTTTTAAACAATTAATTTATTTATTTTTAGTTTTCAGCATTCACCTCCATATGATTTTGAGTTTTAAATTTTCTCCCCCGCCCTCTCCTTCCCCCTCCCCAAAATGGTGTGTAATCTGATATAGGTTCTACTTATACATTCATATTAAGCATATTTTCACATTAGTCATGATGTATTGAGAAATTAGAACTAATGGGAGGAACCATGAGAAAGAAGAAATAAAACAACAAGAGAAAAGGAGAGCAAGTAGTATGCTTCCATCTGCATTGAGACTCCATAATACTTTCTCTGGATGTGGATAGCATTTTCCATCATGAGACTTTTAAAGTTTTCTTAGATCCTTGCATTGCTGAGAAGAGCTAAGTCCATCAAATGTGGCTATTACTATGTACAATGTTCTCTGGGTTCTGCTCATTTCACTCTGCCTCAATTCATAGAAGTCTTTCCAGGTTTTTCTGAAGTCTGCTTGCTCATCATTTCTTATCACACAATAGTATTCCATTACATTCATATACTTGTACATATACATATAACTTGTTCAGCCATTCCCCAATTGATGGGCATCCCCTTGATTTCCAATTCTTTGCCACCACAAAGAGAGCTGCTATAAATATTTTTGTACATATGGATCCTTTTCCCATTTTTATGATTTCTTTGGGATACAGAATTTCTCTATTGTTTTTAATAGGAATGAGTGTTGTATTTTGTGGAATGCTTTTTCTGCATCTATTGAGATAAAATCATATGATTTCTGTTAGTTTTGTTGTTGATATGGCCAATTATGCTGATAGTTTCCCTAATATTGAACTAGCTCTGCATTCCTGGTATAAATTTACCAGGTCATAGTGCATATTCCTCAAAATAAGTTACTGTAATCTCTTTCTAATGTTTTATTTAAAATTTTTGCATCTATATTCTTACGGAAATTGGTCTATAATTTTCTTTCTCTGTTTTGGCTCTTCCCAGTTTAGGTATCAGCAACATATTTGCATCATAAAATAGATAACCTTGGTTATTTTGATTAAAAAAACAATAATTAGGAGCTCTTTTGCCCAACTACATGCCAATACATTTGACAATCTTTTTTTTTTTTTGGTTAGGCAATGGGGTTAAGTGACTTGCCCAGGGTCACACAGCTATACATTTGACAATCTTAATGAAATAGATGTTTTGGTTTTCTTCTTTTTTTTTTTAATCAAAATAACCAACGTTTATCTATTTTATTGGGTTGTTCCCCCCCGTCCCCGTAAAACCAGCCCTTACTTTTATTTATTAGTCCCATAGTTTTCTTAATTTCAATTTGATTAATCTCTTCTCTTTTGGTTTTCAGAATTTCTAATTTCATATTTAATTGGGGATTTTTAATTTGTTCCTTTTCTAGCTTTTTTAGTTGTTTTTAGTTGCATGCCCAATTCACTGATGTCTTCTTTCTCTATTTTATTCATGTAAGTATTTAGAGATATAAAACTTCCCCTAAGAATAGCTTTTGCTGCATCTCTTAAGTTTTGGTATGTTGTCTCATTATTGCTATTCTCTTGGATGAAGTTGCTGATTGTTTCTGTGATTTGTTGTTTGACCCACTCATTCTTTGGGATTAGGTTATTTGCTTTCCAATCAATTTTTAGTCTCTCTTACCATGGCCCTTTATTACATGTAATTTTAATTGCATCATGATCTGAAAAGGATGCATTTAATATTTCTGCCTTTCTGCATTTCATTATGAAGTTTTTATGCCTTAATGCATGGTCAGTTGTCGTGCACACGCCATGTACCGCTGAGTAAAAGATATATTCCCTTCTATCTCCTTTCAGTTTTCTCCACAGGTCTGCCCTATCTAACTTTTCTAAAATTCAGTTCAGCTCCTTAACTTCTTTCTTGTTTATTTTGTGATTAGATTCATCTGGTTCTGAGAAGGGGAGGTTGAGGTCTCCCACTAGTATACTTTTGTTGTCTATTTCTTCCTGTAACTCCCTTAACTTCTGCTTTAAGAATTTGGATGCTATACCACTTGGCTCATATATGCTTAGTAATGATATTACTTCATTGTATATAGTACCTTTTAGCAGTATGTAGTTTTTCCCTTATCTCTTTTAATTGGATCTCTTTTTGCTTTTGCTTTGTCTGAGATCAGGATTGCTAATGCTGCTTTTTTTTTTACTTCAGCTGAAGCATAATATACTCTAATCCAACCTTTTACCTTTACTCTGTGTGTATCCCATTGCTTCAAATGTGTTTTTTTTTTGTAAACAATATATTGTAGTACTATAGTTTTTAATCCACTCTGCTATTCATTTCTGTTTTATGGGAGAGTTCGTCCCATTCACATTCACAGTTATGATTACTATCTGTCTTCCTCTCCTTCCTGTTTTCCCTCCTGTTCATGATTTTCTCTCTCCTTTCTCCCTTTCCTTCCTCACTAGAGTTTTGCTTTTGACCACAATCTCCCTCAGTCTGCCTTCCCTTTTATCAGCACGCTGCCTTTTCTTTCCCTTTTCATTTACCACTTCTCCCTCCCTTCCATCCATCCTCTCCCTTTTCTTTCCCTTTTCCCTCCTACTTCCTATAGGGTACGTTAGATTTCTGCACCTGATTATGTTATTCCCTCTTTGAGCCAAATCTGATGAGAGTAAGGAGTTCAAAGTAAGTAAGAGTAAGCATTCAAACATTGCTCATCTCCTTCCCTTCTGTCCCTCTACTCTCATAGGTCTTTGTACCTCTTAATGTGATGTAATTTACCCTTTTCTGCCTCCTCTTTTCTCCTAGTACAATCCTTTTTCACCACTTAATTAGATTTTTTTATCATCACATCAAAGTCAATTGATACCCACACATTCTGTCTATATATACCCCTTCCAAATGTCATAATAAATATACAGTTTTCAAGAGTTACAAATATTATCTTCCCATGTAGGGATGTAAACAGTTGGGCAGGCACTTTTTTCCGCCTTTTTATCTGCACCTATAGAACTAAGATTTGATTACTTTGCAATAGTTAAATAATGTTTAATACGAGCTTTTACATTTATTCTGCTTCTTTCTGGATTGTTGTGAAGTTGAAAAGTGAGACCCCAGCCTCATGCAGCCTTTGGCCCTTTACTGAGTTCTAAGTCCATATGGGTATTCTCAGCCCTCTCCATCCTCTCCACAGGTGGTCTCCTGACTGGCAAATACAACTATGAAGATGAGGACGACAAACAGCCAAGAGGCCGATTCTTTCAGAGGGATTTTTCTGAGCACTACCGGAATCGGTGAGCAGCAAATCAGTGGGTCAGAGATGGGAGTATGTTCTGATCCCTCCCAGATCCTTGAGTCCTCTTTCCTGTGAGTTGGGACCCTCTTAAACTGTCCTGATTCGAGTGGCCCTGGCTACTGTGGGGTTGGTTATAGGACTGTAGAAGGGAGAAGAACTTAGAAGTTATCTCCTTCTTTTTACAGATTGGGAAACTGAGGCACAGAGAGATGAAGTGACTGGCTGATTGTAACAGAGCTACTTGGCAGCTAGCACTCACATTTGAGCCTGAGTCTTCTCCCTCTGAATGCATTGTTCATTTTGCCATATCAATCCCCCCATAAGCTCTTTCTTGCCTCCCTGAGCTCAACTTCATGGCCAGAATTGCAGGGATTGAGCCTGGAATTAGGAGCCCCTGGTGCTCAATCAGAGCTTCACATCCTGCCTTAGAGAGGACTTGCTTACAGATGGTGAAAAAAAATGTTGGCCTGGAAATCTAGGCCTGTTTTCATCATTAAGTAGCTCTGGGACCTTGGATGAGGCATCGTCTCTGAGTCTTGCTTTCCCCATCTGTAAAATGGGTATGAGCCTTTGGCCCACCTCTCAGGAAGCCATCTCACACCTCAGAGGTAGAAGGACCTTTGAGGGTGTCTGGTCCAACCCGAACATGAACAACAGCCCCCTTGAAACCATCCCTGACAAGTGGATCTCCGGCCTATACTCACAGAAGCCCAGGCAGACCCTTCCCCTTTTGGGCCCCTGTCATTGTGAGGAAGGGTTTCCTGACACTGAGACAAAACTGACCTACCTGGAGCTGTCCACAGGACTGTCCCTCACATGTATGACAGGTGCCCCTCTGCTGTCCCAGCTGCCCCCAAGTTTAGACCAAGCAGCCCCAGTTTCTTTAACCCCTCTTTGAGTGTCTGCCATGTCCTGGAGGGACCTCACCTTCCTCTGGACTCTCTCAGTGTCCTTCCCAGAATGTGGCAGCCAGTCCTAAAATGGGCTTTCTTCGGGTGTCACATGAGATGAGATGGGTGATTATGAGATCAAGTAACCCCAGAGGAATGAAGGACTTAGATAACGTTTGCCTGAGGCCTCTGTCCTGCGCTCATGAATTGTTCATTGGGTGGTAGACTGAGAATAACCAAAGGTCACTTTGGGTGCTTCAAGATCCTTGCTGGGAAAGCATAGTTCCTCTTAGAGGTTTGCGGTGGATGGTACCCAACAAGTAGCAGCTGGTGGAGCCAGGACTGTATAACTTGGCCTAGGCTGCCTGACTCTGTGAGGGCTCCTGTGATTGGAAGCCTGGATTCTCTGCCAAACTGAGCCCCCACAGAGGCCCTGCTGAGGCCAACCTCAGGGCACTGACCACTGAACTTCCCTCTCTGCCCATTCAACACAGCGACTGGAAGAAACACCACTTTCAAGCCATTGATCTTGTGAAGAAAGCCCTGGTGGAATGTTATGGGGCCAGCCCTCCCAGCATGACCTCAGCAGCCCTCAGGTGGATGTACCATCACTCTAAGCTGCAGGTAATGCCCCGGGAGTCCCAGGAACCTACTCTCCCCATGGGTCTTGAGCCCTTTAGAAGTTTGTGCCCATTCTCATCTTTGGCATTATTTCGAGGACATGTCCTTTCCTTCATAGAAATGACTCTGCTGGAGGCAGGTAGGTGGCACAGTGGATAGAGCACTGGCCCTAAAGTCAGGAGAACCTGAGTTCAAATCTGGCCTCACACCAAACACTTGACGTTTACTAGGTATGTGACCCTGGGCAAGTCACTTAACCCCAATTGCCTAAAAAAAAAAAAAAGTCTCCGCTGACTTTTTCAGGCCCTTGATCAAATGGGCTTTTTAGCAAAATTGGATAAATATTGTTTGGACACAACTGGTTAATGACACTACAAAGCATACTTTCTGAAACTTCTACTTGGATAAGGGATCCTTCTGTAATTTACATTTTGTACAAAAAAGGTATCTCTCAACCTCTGGGCTCAGCTATCTTCATTCTGAAGGGGAAAGGAACAAACATTTATATGGTACCTACTGTGTGCCAGGAGTTGTGCTGAGTGCTGTTCAAATGTTCTCTCATCTGTAATAACACTGGGAGGCTGGTGCTATTATTATCCTCATTTCACCTTTGGGGAAACTGAGGCAGGCAGCAGTGAAGTGACTTGTCTGGAGTCACACACCTTTTAAGTATGAGATCTTGCTGAGTCCAAACCAAGTACTTTATATCCTGGGCTATGGGGCTGCTTCTGTGGGTGGGGGATAGGCCAGCAATGGTGGGGGTGGGTGGGGTCTTCATAGATTGTGGTCTACCATTAGTAAACCATGAGCAGCAGTGGGAGAATATTGGTGCTGATGAGATGATAGACTTTTGCTTCTAAAGGAGATACTAAAAATAAGACCATCCTTGCCTTCATGATTTTTCCAGTCATAAAGGACATGACCTGCATACATAGCTTGCTTTCTTCCTCCTCTCCTGCCAGGGTGCCCATGGAGACGCTGTTATCCTGGGCATGACCAGCCTGGAGCAGCTGCAGCAGAACGTGGCAGCAGCAGAGGAGGGCCCTCTGGAGCCTGGGGTGGTGAAGGCCTTTGACGATGCCTGGAACCTCGTCGCCCACGAATGTCCGAGCTACTTCCGCTAGCTCCAGCCCTGGTGGTGGAGAGAGGCCCCCTCACTGATGCTGGCTGTCCCTATGCTCTCAGCTCCATCAGCCAGCCTTTGCCTTAACCTGCTTCAGCCTGAGCCCTGTGTTTCAAATTGTCCCTGTTCTCTGAATCCATGGTTTTCTAGCCTCCTTCCTGGAGGTGAGATCTCTGGCCCCCTGCCCTGTTGCTCTTTCTGTTGAGAAGGGTGAGGGCCAAGGTCAGCTCAGTCCTGTCCTGTTAGAATAAAAGCAAATGTTGCACAAGAGAGTGTCCTGGAGTGAATTATGAGCAGGGCTCTTCTGGGGCCTAGGGTTGGTTGGGTCCTTGGTGGGGAGGTGTCTAAGAGTTTGGGATGAGGATTTCCCTACCTGGTCAAAGAATTGACCCGATTCAGGGAGCTTCACACCTTATTCCAGCCTCCCCCAGATGCATATCTGGACACACTATAAAGGACTCTTTAAATTAGTAATCATTATTCAGCTCCCTGGGGCTCAGTGTCCTCATCTGTCAAATGGGGATAGTCTAGGTATTATCTTGCTCAGAAGATGAATAAATATAAATTTTTATATAATGTATAATCCTTAACATGCTGCAGAAAAAATGGCAATAATAACAGCTGATGTTCATATAGGGCTTTGCTCAACTTGCATTTCTGGTAGAATATAAGCTCCTTGAGGGCAGGAACTGTCTCACTTTGGGGTTTCACAGGATCATATCTTTACAGCTGGAAGGGATCTCAGAAGCATCCAGTCCAGACTCCTTACTTTTCTAATGAGGAAACCAAGGCCTGGAGACGAAAAGTAATCATCCTAAATAAACAACAGAGGTGAGATTTTTAACTCAGATACTCCTACTATCGAGCCAGTGCCTTTCCAACACCTCTCATAAGCCTTGTACATAGTAGGGGCTTAATAAATGCTTGTTGGTGGATTGATAGACCTTGTGTCATTCATTCTTGTGGTTGTTCTGTCCAGAACTGGGATTCCACCATTATGAGCAATTCTTAGAGTGCAATATGCATTCCACCAATTCTGGGAACAAAATACTAACTTAAAAGAGGAAAGAATCATAAATCTCTTTTTAAAAAACATATCAATTCTAAAGACACAAATAAAAGAAACCATAAACCTAACTCATAACTCTGTAAGTGTGAATGGACTAAATATTCCAACAAAAAGAAAGAGGGTGGCAGACCAGACAATAAAAGAAAACTCTTCCTCCCAAAACTCTGTTATTTACCAGAAACAACTGAGAACCAAAGACATATATAGGAGCCAAATGAGAATATGGAAGAAAACACAGAGTATGCATCAGGTGAAGCCAAAAAGCAAATGTTGGAATTATGCTATTTGACAAAGTAAAAGTAAATATTCACAATATCATTACAGTCAAACAAGGACATTATATTATGTTTAAAGGAACCATAGACATGAAACCACTGTCCACATTAAATTTATATACACTAAGTCACATAGCATTTAAATTCATAAGGGAAAAATTCATTGAATTTTTAAAAAGACACCAACAATAACAGTAATAGTAGGAGACTTTCATGTTCCTTTTTCAGAGTTGTGCAAATCTAAGAAACATAAATAAAAGGAAAAATAATGTATAAAATGAACAACTTACAGCTAAAAGATTTATAACACTTTCTAAATGGAACCACTATTTCTGAGCACTAGATGGCATTTTTACGAGAAAGTAAAGAAAGAAATTTGACTTACAGACCATAATGCAATAAATATAGTAATCAATTCAGGATTCACAACTAAAAAACAGAGGCCAAAAGGAGACAATAATGAATTTTAAATAACAAATAGCTCACAGAACAAATCATAGAACCAATAATTATGGAAGTCAATAATAGTGATGAGGCAACACGCCAAAATTTCTTAGATGCATTTCTTGAATGATGGAAAGCAATATGCATGTTTCTCATTTGTTCATAGCAACTTAAAAAAAGTGGATCATATTTGCACATGTATAATCTATGTCAAATTGCTTACTGTCCCAGGGAGGAGAGAGGGAAGGAAGGAAAGGAGAAAATTTGGAACTCAAATAAATTTTAGTAATACTATTTTATTTTTTCCAATTACATGTATAGATAGTTTTCTCCATTTATTTTTATAAGATTTTTGAGTTTCAAATTTTTTCTCTCTCTCTCCCACTCCCCCTCCCCAAGGCAACAAGCCATCTGATAGGTTATACATGTCCAATCATGTAAGCATATTGCCGCATTAGTCATGTTGTGAAAGAAAAAAAAAGAACATAAGAGAAAAGCCACATTAAAAAATTAAAATAGAATACTTTGATCTGCATTCAGACTCCATAGCTGTTTTTCAATTTTAATCTTCTTATCAGTAATGAAGAAATACTAGAATCCTTTCCAATAAAATCAGGAATAATGCAAAGATATCTATTGTTACCATGATATTTTATATCATACTGAAGATGCTAGTTATAAATTGATATATGAAAATAAATTGAGGAAGTATGCATAAGAAAAAGGAACTAAAGTTATTGATTTTTGCAGATGATATAATGTTTAACTTAGCAAATTCTAGAGATTGAACTAAAAAAAATTACTGAAAAAAACTTTTAAAAAAGTAGCAGGACCTAAAATAATCCCACATAAATAATCAGATTTTCTGTATCTCATTCACAAAACCCATCAGAAAGAGACAGAGCAATTCCATTCTACTTGCTTACAGAATTTATAAAATATTTAGAAATCCACCTATCAAGGGAAGAAAGAGAATTATAAAAATATAGCAATAAACCACCCTTTACAAAAATGCAGTGGATCAGCCTGCCAATATAATAAAAATCAAGTTAATTTAGTAATTCAGTGCCATCCTAATCAATGGGTTAATTTATAAAATGACAAAAAATAATAATAAAACTCATTTGAAGGAACAAAATCATACTACTTTCATATCTAGAAAGTTAGAAAAAAGCAGGGATAAGGAAGAAATAGCATTTCCAGAGGACAAACTATTTTATAAAGCAATAATCAAAAAATTATTTGGTACTGGATAGAAAGAAATAGAAAATTAATCAGTGGAATAGATTACATGAATAAAACTTAGATGAACAGAGTAATGATAAATTGTTAAACCCAAGTATCCAAAGGACTGGAAATGACTTGCTATTTGATAAAACTACAGGGAAAACCGGAAAGCAGATTGGCAGAAACTCAATTTAGATCAGCATATCGCAACATATACTATAATTACCTTCAAATGGACACAGGACCTATAATGATGTATAAATCAACTGAGATAAAGAAAAATAATTACATTTGTTGACATACAATAAACTTCAAGATTTTTTACACCTTTGAAAACTTTCAATATATATTATGTCCCCCTTTTGCTGCAAACCCTTGTTTTCCATGATTAAGCATGGAAATTACAATATTATTGACACTTTCTTTAATTCTTCATCTTGAAAGTACACTTTTATCACATTGCATAGTAAGCATACTTTTGATGGCAGTACTTTTTTTTTTTCCAAGTCTAACTTTGTTGATTGATAACCCATAGTTTTTCACTGGGGATTTAAATCAGGTGAGTTTCCAGGTCATTGAAGAATGCTTATCTCCATCTCTTGGATAAATGTTTTAACCTTCTGTGATGTGTGGCATAGCATAAGGTATTTTGCAGCATTTCTGCCTCAGACATTAGGAGCTGTATAATCTTAAGCCTGTCACCCAAATTCTCTGAGTATTAGTTTCCTCATCTGTAAAATGGTATTAATAATATTATATACCTCATAGAGTTGTTGGAAGGACCAAAGGAGATAACATATAGGTAAAGTACTTGGCCGATTTTTAAAGCGCTATCAAAATGTTCTTCAAAAGGCCTGAATTGGCTTTAGTTATTTCTTTTTGGTGGTCCTCTGCTCACAGTGTGACTCCTTCACAGACAGTGACTGGTAAGAGACAAAATTCTAAGAGGAAAGGCTTTGGGCCCTTCTCTCCAAGGCCAACATCTGCCTGCATGAAAATGGACCTTGGTGCTTTGTCTCAGTATTTATTCTATTTTAGGTGAAGGAGATGAATGTAGAGGCTCTGACCTTGTGGGTATGGAAAGGTCAGGAGACCAAGGTTCCAAGAATCTGGAGTCTATGAGTTGGGGTCTATTCCAGGTTTTAGAGCCAGTCTATCACTGATGCCCTGAGAGTCAAGGAAAGACCTTCAGGTCCAATGGAACCTGAAATAAAGAATCGCCCTTCAGTCAAGCCTCATCTAGATGGGAACTTGATGGGACCAATGCTATGTAGAAATGCTTGTTTGATACACAACCTGTAACAACACTATAGATATCATATCATACCACAAACACATCAGAGAAACAAAGAAGGAGATTCTTTTCATACAGTCATGGATAGGGAAAGAGTTCTTGACCAAACAGTGGATAGAGAGACTCACAGGACATAAAAAGGACAATCTGGATTATATTAAATTAAAAAGGTTTTCCATGAACAAAAGCAATGAAACCAAAATTAAAAGAAAAGCACATAACTGGGAGAAAAATTACAGAACATTTTGCTGATAAAAATCTCATTTCTCAAATATATAGAGAACTGAGCTAAACTGAGAAGATCCTGAGTAATTTTCCAATTGTTAGATGGCCAACTGTTCTAAATCACTAAACATTAGAGAAATGGAAATTGAAACAAATGTGTGGTCTCACCTCACACCTATCAGATTAGCTAACATGACAGAAAAGGAAAATGACAGATGTCGGAGGGGCTGTGGCAAAATAGGTAGACTAATGCACTTTTGGTGGAGTTGGGAACTGGTCTAATCATTCTGGAAAACAATTTGAAACAAAGGACTATAAAACTGTGCACACCCTTTGACTCAGCGATATTACCACTAGGTCTATATTACAAAGAGAACAAAAACAAAGCAAAGGGACTCATGTACAAAAATGTTTGTGAAAGCTCTTTGTGTGGTAGCAAAGAACTGGAAACTGACGGGATGCCCATCAACAGCGGACTGGATGAACAACTTGTGGTACATGAATGTGATGGAATACTATTATTCCATAAGAAATGGTGAGCAGGCTGATTTCAGAAAAACCTGGCAAGACTTGCATAAACTAATGCTGAGGGAAGTGAGCAGAACCTAGGGAACATTGTACATAGTAACGGCAACATTATACGATGATTGACTTTATTACACTTAGCTCTTCTCAGCCATGACCTGAGACAATTCCAAAACACTCATGAAGGAAAATGCTATACACATCAGAGAGAGAATTATAAAGTCTCAATGCAAATCAAAGTGTACTACTTTCTCTTTTTTGGTTTGTTTTTTCTTGTGGTTTTTTCCCTTTTGTTCTGATATTTCTTTCATTAGATGACTGATGTGAAAATATGTTTAATATAATTGTATAAGTATAGACTATATCATATTGCATGCCATTTTGGGGAGCCAGGAGGGAAGGAAGGGAGAAAAATTTAGAACTCAAAATCTTATAAAAGTGAATATTGAAAACTAAAAATAAATGAATTAAAATAAAGTAAAAACATACAAATAAAAAGGACAATTTTGGTTATGTTGAATTTAAGAGTTTTTCCATAAACAAAACCGACAAATCAAAATTAAAAGGAAAGCACACAACTGGGAGAAAAATTACAGCAAGTTTTGCTGATAAAAATCCCATTTCTCAAATACATGGAGAACTGAGCTAAAATGAGAAGATTATGAGTCATTCCCCAATTAGCAAATGGCCAAAGGCTATGAATAGGCAATTTTCAGGAGAAAAAATCAAAGCTATCAATAAATATATGAAGACAAAATGCTCTAAATCACTAAAAATTAGAGAAATGCAAATTAAAACAACTCTGATGTACCACCTCACAGCTATAAGATTGGGAGAAAAAAAGGACAATTGTTGGAGGAGTTATGGGAAGACAGGCACACCAATATACTATTATTGTAGCTGGGAGTTGCTTCAACTGTTCTGGAAAGCAGTTTGAAATTATACCCCAAAAGCTACTTAACTGTGAATACCCTGTATCCCAAAATGATCAAAGACCAAAGGAAAGGACCTATATGTAGAAACATGTTTACAATGGAACTTTTTGTTTTAATAAAGGGAATGGCTGAACATAATATCTTATATAAATGTAATGGAATATTATTGTGTCCTAAGGAAAAAAGAAAGGGTTAGATTCAGAGAAATCTGGGAATTTGTATCAATGAACTGATGAAAACTGAATAAAGCAGAGCCAGGAAAATAATATATATGAAGACAACATGGTAAAGGGAAACAACTTTGAAAGACTTAAGAACTCTGACCATGTCAATGACCAGCCACCATTCCAGTGCTCTAATAGAGAATGCTTCCCACCTTCTGATAGAGAAGTGATGGACTTCAGGGGTATAGGAGGAATATATTTTCTGACAAGGCCGGATGATCTTTTTTTCCCTCCTACACTAAATTTATTGTTGGAGGGTGCAGAGGGAATGTTGTTTAGATTTTTTTGGGGGGGAGGGAGAGAAAAAGATATGAGTGAAGGAGAAGGGAGTAATAGTGGTTCTCCTAAATAATGAAGCATTTACAGTATATAGAGAAGAAAGCAGATGGAAATGGATATAAACAGAACAGGACTGGAATTATCCTGTTAAATTTATTATATATTTTAAAAAATAAGCCTTACATAATTGAAATTTGAGTTTCACACATGCTTCTCTTTCTAGTCTCTTCATGTAGATATGATCATGTTAGTTGATGTTTGTCAAGTTCATGATATTTTTAAAAGATTTAATGGCATGGTTTTCTGGATTTTTGATTGATAGCAGGCATTGCTATATCATATATATTTCTCATTACATCCCTCCTTCCACTGATTGTTATAAGCACAATTATTAATCCCTACTTGGCTGATGGAAGGGAAGGATGGAATGGGGGTGACTGGACATGAGGCTCAGGACTCCTGGGTCCCCAGGACTGCTCTCCCACACCTGCCAGATTACTGGGTCCCTTCCACGGGGATAAATGAAAACCTAGCCTGCAAGCTTCAGTCCTTCCTCGTCCCTCCCTGCTCAGGGGGCTGTAACTGCAGGGTGGGACCGAGATAAACAAGACCTAGGTTGGAATCCTAGCTCAGGGAGACCCTGGGAAAAACCCTTTTTGTTCCTGAGCCTCAGTTTCCTCATGTGAAAAAGGAGAGTGTTGGACTAGAGGTTCCTTTAAGGTTGCTTCAGCTCCAGATTCCGGGATACTGGAGAAGGGTCCGGGATGGGAGCGGGGCACTTGCCTGCACGGGTGAGTCCCAGTACCTTCCGCCCGCACCACGCGGTTCCAAAGAGCATCTAAGCCTGATCCGGGAGGATGCAGGGCTTCCACCTACCCCAGTGGCGCAGCGTACTTTGCACATTGACCCAGGGAGCGGGCCTTCTCTGATCTCCACCTTCCCTACCCGCCTCCTGGGCGACGTCAAAGGGCCGGGGCCGGGGCTCGGGTGTGCTGGCAGTGCGCTTAAAAAGATCCTTCTGCCCAGACCCTCGTGTGCGCAAGTGTCTTCTCTGCTCTACTGGCGCGAGTGTCTGCTCTACTCTCCCGGAACGAGTGTCTGCTCTGCTCTCCTAGCGCAGCCGCCGCGATGTCCTCTGCAGCTCGGACTCAGGACCGTCCGGGCACCGTGCTGGGCGCGATGGAGATGGGCTGGCGCATGGACCTGGCAGCCAGCAAGGTCTGCATGCAAGCCTTCTTGGACCGCGGCTACCGTGAGGTGGACACAGCCCACTATTATGGCGAAGGCCAGTCCGAAAGCTTCTTGGGCAGCATGGACCTGGGGCTGAAAGACGGCAGCAAAGGAGGTAAAGCGGCCCGTGCCCTGCCTACCCCGACCCCGTGCAGCGGCCCCTGCCCACACCCCGGGGTCCGTGCCACTCAGCGTCTTGCTACTTAAATCCCACCCACCCCACACATGGCAGATGGGTCCCGAGTCCGTGCAGGCTCGACTCTCCCTAATGTCGCAGTCTGAGGAGAGCACCTTGGGACGCTTTACCCTGACACTGGGATCCGAGGCCAGTACAGTCCAGACCAACTCCTCCGGGCCTTGCATCCTCAGTCCCCTTGATCTGGGTTCTCTATGTCCGCCCCTGCAGCCTCTACCTTTACAACCTCAGCTTCCCCCTGGACAGTGCATCTAGAGGCCATGCACCCTTATTTCTGAAACCTCCTTCCTCCTCCCCTGATCAGTGTAATTAATCTGTGGCCTCTCTGCCCCTCCCGAGTAACCTTTGCCTCCATCAATCACCTGGTCCGCAAACACTCTGACTTCCCCTGGCGCCTACGTGGCGTCTTTTAAAGGGCCCCTGCTCCCAGGGTTTCCCCAGCGCCATGACAAACTGTCCTGAGTAGTAACTGGATTCTAATCATCCTTAGTCACTCTTTGACCAGTAGCCTTCCTATGGACTCCCTGTCCCCAAGCATGCGTCCTTCCATGCCTGCCAGGCTGAATTACAGTTCCTGCCCAAAGGAAGGGGAGGAGACTTTATTGACCTAGGCTGTGGTTCAATTTTATCTGGCACTGCTCTGAGGCCAAGGAGTTTGGGGGGTGGGGTGGAGAGAGGGAATAGGTCTGTTCTGTTCTTTCTCACGGTTGTGATGCTACTTAGGGCCTCCATTGGGGCGGGAGGAGAGACTCGGGGAGAGTCTTCCCTTGCTACACTTGAGCAAAGTGAATGAGCCCCATTTAGGGCCTCCGTCCTTCAGTGCCTGATCTCACCCCAAAGTCCTCCCTCCCTGAGTAGGTGATCTGCTGCCTTCTTGGATTTATAGAATCTAAGAGCTGGAAGAAACCTTAGAACCCAGACTGTTAGAACTCAAATGAACCTTAGAAAGTAGAATGTCAGGACTGAGGGGGCTTAGAGATCACTTTTATCTCAACTCCCTGTTTTACAGAGAGGGAAACTGAGGCCCAGAAATGGAAATGACTTCTCTAAGGCAACACACACAGTGAATGAACTGCAGAGATGGGACAGAACTGGCAGCCCAGGGCTTCTTTCTACCACATTGTCCCATCTGTCAAATGAACTGGAGAAGGAAATGACAAATCACTCCAGTAGCTTCACCAAGAAAACCTCAAATGAGGTCCTGAAGGCTCAGACAGGACTGAAATAATGACACAGACCCACATTATAATTCTGTACACTCTCTAGCTGGGTTGAAATCCCAGCTCTGAACTTTCATTGTGACTTTGAGAAAGTACTTGAACTCTGGCTATAGAATCAGCAATTGAGAGAAGCAAGGGACCTTAGAGGTCATCACATCCCAACTCTCTCATTTTACAGATGAGGAAACTGAGACCCAAAAAGGTTTTTTTCCCTCACCGGTAAAGGGACAGGTTTGGAATAAATGTCTTCTAGAGGCCTTCCAGCTCTACACTTGTATTCCCATGATCCCTAAATTATCTTTCCAGCTTCTTGCTAATCAGGGCCCTTTAACCACCATTCCTCTCCACCACCTCTTTCCTCACCCCCTCTCCCTACTTGGGCTGGGTCCTATCCCCAAAATTGTAGTTGTAGCTGAAAACAAAACTCCTATCAGGACCTAATCTTTTTCCTGGCAGCTAAGAGAGGAAGGATAGAGTATGAAACTGAATAGAGGAAACCACCCAGGTGACTGGACTGCCTCCCATGGGCAGCTAGGAATCAGGAAGACCTGAGTTGGAATCCAGCCTCAGACATTTACTAGTTTATAACCCTGGCATGTCACTTAGCCTCTGCTTGCCTCAGTTTCCTTAACTGTTAAATGGAGAGAACAGTTGCACTACCTTCTAGGGTGGTTGTGAGGATCAAATCAGGCAATATCGGTAAAGCATCTGACACATAGTAGTAGATACTTAATAATGCTTTGTGTCACACTAGGCAGGTGACTCAAGTCTGAGAGCTCAGTAATAGGTATGACAAGTAAATTTTAAATGACACCTTTTTGAGTAGTTCAGAACAACCTGGACTTAAACTTGACCTTTGTCCTCTTCTCCTGACTCCCCTGTCTCCAGATCCCCTCCCCCTCATTCATAGGAACACCAGATCATTCAGATCATTTGGCCCAACCAGCCTCCTCCTTCTAGGGGTAAGGAAAAAGATCCAGTGAAGTGACTTGTCCAAGGTCACAGAGCTAGTGAGCAATAAAATCCCTTATTTGACAGATGAGGAAACTGAGGCCCACAGTGAATAAGTAACTTTCCAGAGGCTGCACAGGTTTCCAGTGGCCCTGCTAGGATTTGCAGCTGAGCTCCTTCTTGACTCCAAATGCAGAATTCTTTCCTCTATGCCAGACACACACACACACACACACACACACACACACACACACACCCTTTCATGAAAGCCCATGTTCAGGTGACCTGGACAAGTCATTTGTCCTTGCTAGATTTTTATATTCTCTAAGGTAAGATAAGACATTTGGACTACATCAGGGATTCTTAACCATAGGGTTCTGGGGTAGCTTTCAGGGGATCAGTGACATTGGGGGGAAAAAACCTGCCTCCTCTTTCTTTTCACCAGCTTCTAACAGAAATGTAATATTAATTTCTTTTAATTATTTAAAAACATTATTCTGAGAATGGGTCCGTGGGCTTTGCCAGAGTGACATAGGGGTCCATGAAGTAAGGAAGGAAAGAAGCATATATTAAATGCCTACTATGTGCCAGGTACTGTGTCAAGCACTTACAAATATCATATCATTGCAGTCCTAGGAGGTAGATGCTATCATTATTATTATTCCCATTTTACACTTGAGGAAATTGAGGCAGATAGCATTTTCGTGACCTGCTCAGAGTGACACAGCTAGTAAGTATCTGACACAGAATTGGAACTCGCCTCTTCCTGACTCCAGTCCCAGCAATTAGTTCACTGAACCACCTAACTGCCTGTAAAAACACACTATTAAGGTAGATAGGAAGGCTCTCTGGGAAGGGGAGGAGGGATCCTGGGGAAAACTATGAGGATAAAAAACCCCAAAAGATATCAATAAAATCTTTTGAAAAAATGTCAGCTGTTTGGATATAGGGCTTAGCTGAGGGTTTTCTGTGTATTGCTTGAATTGACTTGAATCTCAGCCCTTCCTACCACCTTCTTTTTCCCCAAGTGAAAATTGCCACCAAGGCCAATCCCTTGGATGGAAAGACCCTCAGTGCTAGCAGTGTCCGGTCCCAGTTGGAGACTTCCCTGAAGAGGCTGCAGTGCCCCAAAGTGGATCTTTTCTACCTGCATTTTCCAGACCATGTCACCCCCATTGAGGAGACACTGGAGGCTTGCAATGAGCTACACAAGGAGGTGAGATGAGAGGATGGCAGAGAGGGGCCTTTGGGGTACAGAGTATCAGAGCTGGGAGGGCCCTTAGAACCCGAGATGTCAGAGATGGGAGAACCTTAGAACACAGAATGTCAGATCTGGAGAAGCCTTAGAGCATTCATCAATCATTCAAGATTATTTATTAACCACCTACTGTGTGCCAGGCACTGTGATAGAGCTGGAGATGAATAAAATAGTCTCTACTCTCAAAGATACTCTAATTATATTCCCTTCCTCTCTCCCTCCCCCTTCTTTCTCCCTCCCCCGTTCTCTCTCTCTCCACTTCCTTCTCTACCTCTTTCTGTCTTTCTCCCTCTCCCTCCCTCACTCTCTCCCCCTCCTACCTCCTTTACCCCTCTCTCTCTGTTTTTCCCTCTCCCTCTCTCTTTCCCTCTCTCCCTTCTCCCTCCTTCCCTCCCTTTCTGTGTCTCTCTTTCTCCCTCTTCCTCTCTCCTCCTCCCCTCTCTCCTCCCATCCCCCCTTCCCTTTGTCTCCCTCTGTCCCTCTGTCTTTCTCTCTCCCTCTCTCCCCTGCAGGGTAAATTTGTAGAGCTGGGCCTCTCTAACTACGCCTCCTGGGAAGTAGCTGAAATCTGCACTCTCTGCAAGAAAAATGGCTGGGTCCTCCCCACTGTGTACCAGGTGAGCACCTGTCTGAGCCCAGGATGCTGCTGGGTCTCCTGGGGCCCTTCTTGGCCATAGAGTGACCTGACCCCATGGACAGAGAACCTTTCTACCCTCGAGGTCAAAGGAGGGAGGGACTGGCTCCATGTGATACTGCTAGTAAATGGCCCAGCAGAGACTCTGATCTAGGGCTCTGACTCCCAGTGCCTTGGGGCTTTGGAGACAGAAGACCTGGGTTCAAATCCTGACTCTTCCACTTCCTGCCTAATGCCATCTCTGGGCCTCAGTTTCCTCATCTGTAAAGTGAATGTGTTGGACTAGACCTCCAGCTAGTGTGCCAAGCTGGTGACCTCTCCTGACCTGGGATGGTTTGGGGGGTTGTCCCTTCCCTGAGCCTCCTCATCTGTGCTGTCTTTCCTCCTCACAGGGAATGTACAGCGCCATCGACAGGCAAGTGGAGAAGGAGCTGTTCCCCTGCCTGCGTCACTATGGACTGCGGTTCTATGTCTACAGCCCTTTGGCTGGTATGAGGAAAAGTGGGGAGGGGACCTCAGAGTCTGTGAGATGGGATAGTAGAATAAAGACATGAAGTCAAGAGATCTGGGTTCAAATCTGGCCTTTGATACTTGCTAGCTGTGTGTCCACGGGTAAATTGCAACCTCTCTCAGCCTCTCTGGCCAAATGGGAGAAATAATATTTATACTAACTACCTCATAGAGCTGCTGTGGGAAGGCATGTTTTTTTTTTAAAGGTAAAGAGTGCTCCAGAAATCTGAATTTATTGTGGCTTCCCTTAGACCTACTAACTCTCCTCTAAGCTCAGCTTGAAGGAGGGGGGAGGAGAAAGACAGTGTCCAGGGATGGTAGTGAGGTCCCAGTGAGGTTAATTAGAAATAGGAGACACTAATCCACACGTGAGTAACCTTGTGGGCCACATAGTAGCTTAAAGTGAGACATTATCTATATTTTACTGTCCTTTTATTTATTCTGATAACTATTTCCTCATCCCATTTCAGTCCAGTTTTGCCCCTTTGCCCTAGAAGAACTAGCCTTCTCCTCTTCCTGCCCTCCCAATTCAGCCCCACTCCACTCCCAGTTCTGGAATTATGAACCAATGAACCCTGGCCATCCTCCCGGGGTGAGGTGTGTCAATATTGTCCCCTGTTCCCACACTCACCCTCCTGGTCACTTTTGCCACCAAAATGCTCCTTCCAGGCCTTGTCTCTCATGTTATTTCTGTGGTTAGAAAGGAAATTTTATGAGGGCAGGGATTTTTTTTTCTTTTCCATCTGCACCTATAGCACTTAGCTTTGATTGCTTTGCAGTAGTTCAATAAAGTTTAGTACATGCTTTTTCATTCATTCAGCTTCTTCCTGGATTATTACAAAGTTGAAAAGTGAGGCGCCTGCCTCACGCAGCCTTTGGCCTTTTACTGAGCTCTAAGCCTATGTGGGTATCCTTAGCCCTCTGTGAAATCCCTGAGATCTAATTGTCTGCCCTTTCCACAGGTGGTTTCCTGACTGGCAAATACAAGTATGAAGACAAGGACAAAAAACAGCCTATAACCCGATTCTTTGGACGGCGTGTCTCTCAGCTGTACCATAAGCGGTGAGCTGCATATGAGTGGGTCAGAGATGGGAGAATGTTCTGATCCCTCCCGGATCCTTGAGTCCTCTTTCCTGTGGGTTGGGACCCTCTTAAACTGTCCTGATTCCAGTGGTCTTGGCTCCTGTGGGGTTATAGGAGGGAGAAGAAGTCAGAAGTCACCTCCCTCTTTTTACAGATTGGGAAACTGAGGCACAGGGAGATGAAGAGACTGGCTGATTGTCACAGAGCTAGTTGGCAGCAAGCACTCACATTGGATCCTGAGTGTTCTGGCTCCAAATGCATTGTTCATTCTGCTATACCAATCTCCCCTTGAGATGTCTCTTGCCTCTCTGAGCTCACCTTCAAGGCCAGAATTGCAGGGATTGAGCCTGGAATTAGGAGTCCCTAGTGCTTAATCAGAGCTTCACACCTTGCCTTAGAGAGGACTTGCTTAGCAGACAGCAAAGAAAAAAAATGTTGGCTTAGAAACCTAGGACTCTTTTCATCATTAAGTAGCTCTGGGACCTCGGATGAGGCATCATCTCTCAGTCTTCCTTTTCTCACCTGTAAAATGTGTTTCCTGACATTGAAACAAAATTGGCCGATTTGGAACTGTCTGCAGGACAGCCCCTCACATGTATGACACGTGCTTTCCTGCCCTCTCAACTGCTCCCAAGTTTAGACCAAACAGCCGCAGTTCCCTTAACCCCTCTTTCAGTGTCTGCCATGTCCTGGAGGGGCCTCACCTTCCTCTGGACTCTCTCAGTGTCCTTCCCAGAATGTGGCAGCCAGTCCTAAAATGGGCCTTCTCGGGATGTCACAGGGAATGAGATGGGTAATTATGGGGACAGGTGACTCTAGAGGAATGAAGGTCTTAGATAACATGTGCCCAAGGCCTGCGTCCTGAGCTTATGAATTGTTCATTGGGTGGTGGACTAGACATAACCAGAGGTCGCTTTGGGATCCTCACTGGGGAAGTGCAGCCCCACGTGGAGGTTTGCAGTGGATGGTACCTGGGTTCTCTGCCAAGCTGAGTACCCGCACAGGCCCTGCTGAGGCCAGCCTGGGGGCACTGACCACTGAACTTCCCTCTCTACCCATTCAACACAGCTACTGGAAAGTACTTCACTTTCAAGCCATTGATCTTGTGCGGAAAGCACTAGCTGCATCTTATGGGGCCAACCCTCCCAGTATGACCTCAGCAGCCCTCAGGTGGATGTACCATCACTCCCAGATCCAGGTAATGCCCCAGGAGCCTACCTGTTCCCCTGGGTCCTGAGCCTTTAGGAGGTTGGGCCATTCTCAGCTTTGGCATTATTGAGAGGACGTGTCCTTTCCTTCTTAGAAATGTCTCTGCCGACTTCTTCTGCTCCTCGATCCAATGGGCTTCTTAGCAAAATTGGATAAATAGTGTTTGAACACAACTGGTTAATGACACTCCAAAGCATACTTCCTGAAACTCTGAGTTGGATAAAGGATCCTTTTGTAATTTACACTTTGTACACAAAAGCTGTCTCTCAACCTCCTGGTTCAGCTTTTTACATTCTGAAGTGGAAGGGAACAAACATTTATATGGCACCTACTGTGTGCCGGGCGGCTGTGCTGAACACTGTTCAAATATTCTCTCATCTGTAATAACCCTGGGAGGTTGGTGCTATTAGTTTGCTCATTTGACCTCTAGGGAAACTGAGGCAGACAGCAGTGAAGTGACTTGTCCGGGGTCACACAGTTACTAAGTATCAGCGCTTCCTGCTCTATCGACCGGGCCACAGAGCTGCTTCTGAATCACATCTTATGAGTCTTCTCACATGCCTCTGAATTCTATTTGTCTACACCTTCCTCCAGCCATAATGACCCATGACAGTAGCTGGTCAGAGTGGATAGAGAGCTGGCCTCAGAGTCAGGAAGGCTTGGGTCCGAGGCCCGGGTCAGGCTCTTTTGTTTGGGTGGCCTTGAGCAAGCCCTTGGGTGCATTTCTTGCTGTACAAGCTCCACAGAAGACTCACCCACTGTGGGCTAGAAGCTGCCTCCTTCTGGATTTGCAAAATAGCCTGTGGGCCCCCGGGGGGCCACTGGATCGTCTGCTTGTCGCTACTCATGGGTTGCTCCACTACCTCTTTGCGTGGCTGTACTTTGGGTTCTATTCAGCAAGCATCGATGGGGCACCAGCTGTGTGCCAGGCACTGCTGGAGGCCCTAAGAATTCAGACACACAAGGGAACAACATTCCCTGCCTTCCAGGAGGTGCATTCTAATGAGGGGTAGGAGGTACAGATAAGTGACCTCATGATCATGTGAGCGTGAGAAAGCAGTAACAGTTAAGAAGAGCAGGGCAGGCTTCCAGGAGGAGGCGGTATTGGTGCTGAGCCTGGAAGGAAGCTGAGGATGCTAGGAGGTGGAAGGGAGAATATCCAGACGTGGGGTGGGACCCAAGCAAAGGCACCAGGGTGGGAGATGAAAATGAGGTTGGGGGGCAGCAAGGTGGTGCAGTGAAAAGAGCTCTGGCCCTGGAGTCAGGAGGACCTGACTTCAAATGCAGCCTCAGATACGTAACACTTACTAGCTGTCTGACCCTGGACAAGTCACTTAACCCGATTGCCTCACCAAAAAGCAAAAAAGAAAAAAAAAATGAGGTTAGGAAATAAAAAACCATCCAATTTGGTGGGAAGTGTGGAATAATGAGATATACGTCTGGAAAATTAGGCCAGAACATATTGAGCACAAGCCTCTTTGGTTATATGCTGAAGCCTACTTACACCCACCTATGTCTTACCATTGCCCTGAGGGTTGAGGGAAAGGCCAGCGGTGGGGGGGGGGGGGAAGATCTTCATAGATTGTGGTCTACTATTAGTAACACCAGAGCAGCAATGGCAGAATATTGGTGCTAATGAGATGATAGAATTTTGTGTCTGGGGGAGATACAAGAAGTGAGACCATCCTTGCCTCCATGACTCTTCCAGTCATAAGCATAAGCAACCTGCACACATAGCTTGCTTTCTCCTTCCTCTCCTGACAGGGGGCCCGTGGAGACGCCGTCATCCTGGGCATGACCAGCCTGGAGCAGCTACAGCAGAATCTGGCAGCAGCAGAGGAGGGCCCTCTGGAGCCTGGGGTGGTGAAGGCCTTTGACGATGCCTGGAACCTCATCGTCCATGACTGTCCCAACTACTTCTGGTAGCTCTAGCCCTGGTGGTGGAGAGAGGCCCCCTCACTGATGCTGGCTGTCCCCATGCTCTCAGCCCCATCAGCCAGCCTTTGCCTTAACCTGCTGCAGCCTGAGCTCTGTCTTTCAAATTGTCCCTGTTGTCTGAATCCATGGTTTTCTAGCCTCCTTCCTGGAGGTGACACCTCTGGCCCCCTGCCCTGTTGCTCTTACTGTTGAGAAGGGTGAGGGCCACGACCAGCTCAGTCCTGTCCTGTTGGAATAAAAGCAAATATTGCACAAGAGAGTGTCTTGGAGTGAATTATGAGCAGGGCTCTTCTGGGGCCTGGGGTTGGTTGGGTCCTTGGTGGGAAGGTGTCTATGAACCTGAGATGATGATTTTCCTACCTATTCAAAGAATTGACCTAATTCAGGGAATTTCACACCTTATTCAAGGCTCCCCCAGATGCACACCTGGGCACACTGTAAAGTGCTCTATAAATTAGTAGTCATCATTCATCTCCCTGTGGCTCAGTGTCCTCATCTGTCAAATGGGGAGACTCTAGGCCTGGGGTGGGGAATGGGCAGCTTCAAGGCCACATGTGGCCTTCTTGGTCCTTGGGTGTGGACTGTTGACTGAATCCAAGTTTTACAGAACACATTGTTGTATTAAGGGGATTTGTTCTGTGAAGTCTGGATTCACTCAAAGGGCTACACTTGAGGACCTAGAGGGACACATGGGGCCTTAAGGCCACAAGTTCCCCACCCCCTCTCTAGGTCTTATCTTGCTCAGAAGAGGAAGGTGCCATATAAACCTTAACATGCTGCAGAAAAATGGCAATAATAACAGCTGATGTTCATATGGGGCTTTGCTCTACTTGCATCTCTGGTAGAATATAAGCTCCTTGAGGGCAGGAACTGTCTCACTTTGGGGTTTCACAAGATCATATCTTTATAGCTGGAAGGGACCTCAGAAGCATCCAGTCCAGACTCCTTACTGGTTTTTTTTTGGGGGGGGGGGTAAGGCAATTAGGGTTAAGTGACTTGCCCAGAGTCACACAGCTAGTGAGCGTTGTGTGTCTGAGGTCAGATTTGAACTCAGGTCGTCCTGACTCCCAGGCTGGTGCTCTATGCACTGAGCCACCTAGCTGCCCCATGTCTCCTTAGTTTTCTAATGAGGAAACCAAGGCCTGGAGACAGAAAGTAATCATCCCAAATAAACATCAGAAGTGAGATTTTAACTCAGGCACTGCTACTACTGACCCAGTGCTTTTACAATACCTATCATAATCCTTGTACATAGCAGGGGCTTAATAAATGCTTGTTGGTGGATTGATAGCTCTTGTGTCATTTATTGTTATGGTTGTTTTGTCCAGAACTGGGATTCCACCATTATGAACAATTCTTAGAGTGCAATATGCATTCCACCAATTCTGGGGACAAAATACTAACTTAAAAGAGGAAAGAATCATAAATCTTTAAAAAAAAAACTTAATCAATTCTAAAGACACAAATAGAAGAAACTGTAAACCTAACTCATAACTCTAAATGTGAATGGACTAAATAGTCCAATAAAAAGAAAGAGGGTGGCAGACTGGACAATAAAGGAAAACCCTTCCTCCCAAAACTCTGTTATTTACCAGAAACAACTGAAAACCAAAGACATATATAGGAGCCAAATGAGAATATGGAAGAAAACACAGAGTATGCATCAGGTGAAGCAAAAAAGGAAATGTTGGAATTATGCTATCGGACAAAGCAAAAATAAATATTCACAATATCATTACAGTCAAAGAAGCACATTGTGTTATGTTTAAAGGAACCATAGACATCAAACCAGTATCCATATTAAATTTATATGCACTCAGTCATATAGCATCTAAATTCATAATGGAACAATTGGTTGAATTTTAAAAAGACACCCATAATAACAGCAATTGTAGGAGACTTTCAGGTTTCTTTCTCAGAGCTGCAGAAATCTAAGAAACATAAATAAAAGGAAAATACTATATAAAAGGAATAATATAGCTAAAAGATTTATGGTAGTTTCTAAATGGAACCACTATTTCTCAGCACTACATGGTATTTATTAAAAGAAAGGGAAGAAAGAAATTTAAGCTAGATGTAATACTGAAACATCATTTATAGACCATAATGCAATAAACGTAGTAATTAACTCAGGAAGCACAGCCAAAAAACACAGAGGCCAAATTGAGACAATAAAGAATCCTAAATAACAAATAGTTCAGAGAACAAATCATACAACCAATAATTATGGAAAACAATAATAGTGATGAGACGACACACCAAAATTTCTCAGATGCATTTCTTGGATAATTAACTAACTGCAAATAGAAAACAATATGCATGTTTCTCACCTGTTCATAGCACCTGTAAAAAAATGGATGATGCTTGCCCATGTATAACCCATGTCAAGATGCTTACTGTCTCAGAAAAGGGGAAGGGGAGGGAAGGGAAGGAGAAAATTTGGAACGGAAAAAATTTTTTTGTAAATAATGTTTTATGTTTTCCAATTACATGTAACGATAATTTTCTACATTCATTTTTTATAAGATTTTGAGGTCCAAATTTTTTCTCTCTCCCTTTCATCCTCCCTCCCTAATGCAGAAAGCAATTTGATATAGATTATACATCCCCTTTGTCCTATACATATTTCTATGTAAGTATATTTCCACACACACAAAAAAGTGAAAATCGTATGCTTTGGTCTGCATTTAGACTTCCTAGTTCTTTCTCTCGATGTAGATAGAATTTTCTGTCACAAGTCTTGTGGAATTGTCTTGGATCATCGTACTGCTGAGAAGAGCTAAGTCTACGATAGCTAGCCATTGCACATTGTTTCTGTTACTGTGTAACTCAAAATTAAAAAAAAAAAGGAATGTTAAAAATTGCCTTTTCATGTAATTGGGGAAAAATGAAATGTTATTTTTTAAAAATTGATCACATGCTAGGGCATAAAATCTTATAAACAAATGGAAAATATTAAATACAATCCTCATTGACCATAATACAATAAAAAATATAATCAATTATGGATGTTTAAAGAAAGAAATCAAACTTAAATGGAGACCAAATAATTTAACTCTAAAGAACAAAAAAGATAATTTCATAAAACAAAATGTCAATAATGAAAACATAATAAAACTTAGAGTTGCAGCCAGACAAGATATTTGGGGGATATCTGGAAACACTTCCACCAACAAAAGAAAGAACATATCAGTAAATTGGCCTTGCAACAACAAAAACCTAGAAAAGCCCAATTAAATTCTGAAAACTGAAGAGAAACAAAATTGTTTTTTTAAAAAACTATTGAATTGTTAAATAAAACTAGGAACTTGTTTAGGAAAAAATTAATGAATAGAGATAAGTGATTGCTTAAAAAAAAGAAGTCAAATTGCCAGTATTAAAAATGAAAAAAGAAAAGGAGAAATAAAAGAAAGCATCAGAACTTCTTTTGCTCATTCACGTGTAAACAGATAATTTAAGTGAAATGGACAAATATTTCCAAAAATATATAATACCCAAATTAACAGACTAAAAATAGAAAATTCAAATAACCCAATCTCAGAAAAAGGAAATTGAATAAATCAAAAAGTAAGTTCCAAAGGAAAGATCCCCAGGACTAGATGGTTTTAAAAGTGAATTCAATGGAACATTAAAAGAATAATGAATTCCGATATTGTATCAAATATTTGCAAAAATGGGGAGAAAAGGATCCTACCAAACTCCTTCCATGAGACAAATACGGTCCTGATGCCCAAACCAGAGAGAGAAAAACCAGGAAAAAACCAACTATAGACCAATGTCTCCAACAGATACTGATCCAAAAACATTGAATAATGTACTAACAGTCTATGGCAACATATTTAAAACATTACATAACATGATCCTATTGGATTTAAAGCATTTATGCAGGTTCGATATTAAGAAAACTAAAACATGATAGATCATATTAATAAGCAAAAATTAAAATCACATGATTACACCAAAATTGAGAAAAAGCTTTTGACAAAATAATAGTACCATTAAAAAGCCTATGAATAAATGACATGTACTGTTCCTTATAAATAGTAGCTATCTAAAACCAAGAGCAAAGATTATCAGTGTTGTGACTGGAATTTAACAAAAGGGCAAACTGAGGCAGATCTCTGAGCAAGATAACATTTATTAGCAGGGGCATGCCACCTGTCAATAAATGAGGTCAGTGGATTGCCTCTGTTAACAATAAAGACTCGAGTACAGGACAGTGCCCCTTGTATAGGTTTTGGGGAGTACAGAACAAAGAACATAACAGGGGAGATGACATCATGGGATTAAAGGCAACATGACTGGTTACAGAGATGGGGCTCATGGAAGTTTGGTAATGAGGCCTAGTAATGACTCTACCCTGCTTCTCTCATGAGACTAAGTACTCATTGTCTGAGGGCAGGTATGAGATAGTGGCTCAGACCCTTTGCACAGCAAACTAGGCATCCTTGAAGGATAGCTGGGTGAAGTAAGGATATCAGGCCCAAACTCCTTTTCTGTTCACACATATTCTCTAAAACCAGTTAAATTCCTGAGTGGGAGAGCTGGATTTTTTCAACTTAACCTACTGTAGGTCAGTTTAATTCTTAACCAAGTTCAGAGACAAAGAAACATGATTTAAACACTTACAGGACAAAATCAATTACTTGTAAATAGCGTCATTAAATAAATTAGACCAGATCAATTTTAATCTTCTCATCAGTAATAAAGAAATACTAGAATCCTTTCTAGTAAAATAAGAAATAAAGCAAAGATGTCCATTGTTACCATGATATTTTATATCATACTGGATGTGCTAGTTATAGCAATGACATATGAAAATAAATGGAAGTAATAAGCATAGAAAAAGGGGAACTAAAGTTACTGATTTTTGCAGATTATATGATGTTTCACTTAGAAAATCCTAGAGATTGAACTAAAAAAAGTCACTGAAACAATAACTTCAAAAAAGTAGCAGGACCTAAAATAAACCCACATAAATAATCAGAGTTTCTGTATATTATCAACAAAACCCATAAGAAAGAGACAGATTGATTCCATTCTATTTGGTTACAGAATTTATAAAATGTTTAGAAGTACAGGGGCAGCTAGGTGGCGCAGTGGATAGAGCACTAACCCTGAAGTCAAGAGGACCTAATTTCAAATGTGGCCTCAGACCAAACACTTGACACTTACTAGCTGTGTGACCCTGGGCAAGTCACTTAACCCCAAATGCCTTAAAAAAAAAAGTCCACCTACCAAGGAAGAAAGAGAATTA